ACCCGACTGCAACAGTGTCATGTGTGCATCTTCATCATCATCATCATCATCACACACAAATATCATGAATTGATTGAGGAAGGAAGTGCAGGGACTTTGTGGAGGCAGCACTCACGCAGCTCTGTGGCTTTTCCTGTTTTCCATCATCTTCTTTTCAAACATCTGAATCCTGCACTGATCAGACAGAAACAACAACAAGTGCAGACGTTTGGAAAAGAGTTCAACATGAATGAAGCATCTGCGCTGGAGCCGTCGTGCAGATGTGAAAGACCTGATACAGCTGTTTAGCGATTCCATTTATGCCAAACATCATTTTATTCAAACGTTAATTTCCTTTCCCAGCTGATCGGATTATATTTAAATGAGTGCCATATTGTGTCCTGATCATCCAAAATCCAAATGATTCCAACATGAATGACTGAGAAAACTGGATGAAGGCAACTGGAAAGAGATTTCAGTAACTCCACATGTATGGGTTTGAAGAATGTCCTGGAAATAAGGAGAAGAGTTTATAGACCAATGGGGGAACTTAGTAAGTATGTCGTGGCACCACCTGCATGTATAAGCCAGATCTCGTCAGACCTCTGAAGCTAAGCAGGGAAGGGCCTGGTTAGTTCTGGGATGGGAATCCTCAGAATGTCAGGTGCCACAAGGGGCGGCTGTGGCTGTAAAGTGCCAAACTGTTCCTTAGGCAAGACACTTCACCCACAGTGTCTGGTGGTGGGAGGGGGTGATGTCACATACTGGTCACCTCGCTCCTGTCAAACTGTCCCATGCAGCTGTGGCTACAGAAGCTTATAACCACTGTTAAAAAATGACATGTGAAGCGTCATTGAAGAAATCTTTATTCACATAGTGAATTTCATAGACTATGGTTATACAAAGTGCTACCAATATTTTTCCATTCACTCCACTCCACAAGACGCCAGACATTCCATTCACTCATTTCTCAAACACGGGGAGAACATGCAAACATGCAAACTCAATACAGAAAGGCCCTAGAGTCCAACCGGAGCTTGCACTATTTATTTTTGTCTACAACATTTCAAAAAATTAAAAAGTAACTAACATCCACTGAAGCACCTACAAGTCTGAGAAATACACATTAATTCTGTGCGTGTTTCTGAGAATACCCGACCAATGACAGCTTTGGCACAGTCATTCTAACATATTTGTTTACAGCCATATCTGCAAACGGAATCAAAAAGAGAGAAAATAAATATCTTCCAAAACATTGTTCCAAAAAACACGATTAAAAGGACTGATTATTGTGACTGAACGTGTTCAAATCCCGCTGCAAACTTCACTGCTGCAGAAGTGAGATGAGATGCACCAGACCACAGGATTGGGAATTAATATGTGAACAGACTGAAATTAACTCGGCCTCTTTACTGGAATACAGAGCAGTGCAAAGGCTTTCTGTGGGAGTAAACCATCCTTTTGCTTTTTCCCTTGAAAATGCCATTGTTTCTGTTTTCCTTTAGAACTACTGTACTCATAATGTTGTGCAACAATGAGTACAACTTTCTACTTCTTCTTTCGATTTTTTTTTTTTTTTTTACACCTTGACAGAATATTTACAGAAAATGAGTGTTCACGCTCCCGCCTCTCAACAAGAAGGCTCTGGGATAATTACTGAGATGGGGGCCCTTTCTGAGTGGAGTTTGCATGTTCTCCCTGTGTCCGTTTCTTCCAAGTGCTCTGGTTTCTGCTTCTGCCAAAACATGTATGATTCACATCTGTTTCATTAAAGGTGCTAAAATGAATAAGATCTAATCTTAAAGCTGGGTTACAAAACAAATCAGACCACAAACTGTATTCCAAAATATTTTGAGTGAGGGTGGTTCTCTCTTTTCCACTCTTTTGAAAAAGCTGATTTAAAGATGTGACAGAAATGCGTGTTGCAGTGATTTTTGTAATGATTTTTCTAGTGATGTTTGTTTTATTTGCACACAAATAGTCAGTTTATTAAACAAACTTTAAAGATACTTAAAAAACTGAAGAATATTGAACTTGAATTGAACACCTTACTGCATATTATTACTATTCATGTAGCTTGTTTGGTGTGCTCCTCATTCCAACTGTTCCGAAACTTGTGATGCAGCACTGCAATTTCCTCGCTGCAAGACGAATAAAGGATCTCTTAATCTTATATTGAGAAGAAGAAGGAGAAGAAGATACAGTAAATTATATTGATCTCACAATGGAGACATTCGGTTCAATGAATAGTCACTTACACATCAAGGCATGCAGAGTGCAAAGTGTCTTGCCTAAGGACACAACGACAGCAGCGAGAGTCGGTGGAGAAGGTCTTGCGATGGGCTCGAACCCATAAGCTTCAGGCTCAAAGGCCAATGCTCTACCAACTGAGCCACTGTCGGCCCAAAGCTTTGGCACAGACCGTTTGCACTCCTGCATTCGATTCCACCTCCAGGCGGGGCCTTTCACTGTAGAGTTTGCATGTTCTCCCCATTTCTGCCTATAGGTTTCCATGCACCATTTTCTCCCACCACTAAAAACGATAAGATAAGATAAGCCTGTATTTGTCACGAATGGATTAGCACACGCTCCAGCTGAAACCACCATTAATGCCCTGTCTAAGTGTGCACAGCCAATGTGCAGAACATGTTCTTCATATTAAAAGACAGAATGTTGGACAGAGTGGATTTGGAATGGAAATGGAAGGGGGCGCATTGAGCAATAATGGAGAAAATGCTCCCACAACTGTCTCTGGGTAATCTTTTCATGGACTTGATCTCTTGGCCTGAATATAATTGAGTTTATCAGCTCGAGATGTTGTTCATAGTTCATGTACTAAACTTTCTGGTGTCATAGTTAGGCTAAGTGTCGGACTAAATGAGAAACATGAATTGGGATTTTTTTTTTCACCTCACCCCTTCCATCTTTGGACAATTGTTTTGGTCCCCAAATTTTCCCAATTTACATCCATTTAAACATTTCGTGCCAAAATTATCAGGAAGCACATACTGTATGACCAACTCGACTTTTGAGAAATTTAAATTTAGTATTTCATCCTGTTATTTTGGCCTCAGTACTAAATGCATGATCAGTGTTAACTGGTCTTGATGTGTTGACGTCAGGGGAGTGGGCTGAGTGTGATTGAGTATTTAAAAAAGCGTGAAAATCATGTTGAAAAAAACTATGCTCAAAAGTAGTTATATATGTCAATGTGAGCAAACAGTTGGACGTGAAAATGTGAATTGTGGGGAAGCGTAAATGCCATAGGGATGAATGTTATGGATGAGAAATTTCCATAAGGATACAAATATGTTTAATTCATTCTTTTTGCAAAGGAGAAAAGAGGTGCAAAACTTTGGGCCCCTTCAGATTTAAACCTTGTAGCGCCCCTATGGCAAGTGTCTCAGCCTACAAACAGTTGTTGGCATCTGATTCTGCTATTCCTCCTTACATTTTGTCTGTGTGGTCATCTGGCCTGGGACAACACATGGGATATAACAAATGCTTAATCTGCTGAAAATCTTCTTTTTGTCAGACTAAAGGTTTTTACATTGTCCACAATCTTTAAGCAATAAACAAAACTAGATCAAAGAGTTTTATGGGCTGTTTTGCATGCTTTGCTCTATTGGTCCTGCCACAGACTTTCAATTATGCTTAGGTCAGTGAAAGCCATTGCAAAACCAACTTGTGCCTTTTGTTGTTTTCTTCCTTTTGGGGTTTTGAGTAGCCTGGCCTTAGCCATCCAAAAACTCCAGTCAATTATTGTTTCCCAACATGTACGTCTGGGTCTGATCTTAGTGGCTGTGGTTACCTCGATTGAATCTTCTACAACCATTCAGCGAGCGAGGAGGCGGGTGTTGTAGGTAGGTGTCGGTGAAGTCAAGAGTTTGCACTGAATTGGCTGGCTGTAGTTTGGCAATGGCGGTGATTGCGATAATAAAAGCAGCTCTTCAATCCGTTCTGGTTTGGCTCCCGAATATCAAAAAATTGAAGCCGGAGCAAGAGAAATGTTTCGCAAATTTCATTTCTAAATGCTAAATTCATCACTCAGGTGAATTACATACATTACTGCCAGATACATAAACCTTGTTTCAATCTGAATAAGGAAAAAACCCCTCCCACCTGTTAGCGAAGCTCAATGGAGAAAATCCAGACCTAAGTACGAACTGAAATGAGTATGATGGTGTGGTAAGATCAGGCTAGATTTTGAGTTGTGTTTGGAATCTTTTGTACACACCATCTTTTTAGCGCCATATTTTCTCATGATAATTTTTTTTTTTTTCAGAATGTGTTGGAATTTCCTTGAATCCATTCTTCATTCTAGCTGTAAATTGTTCCTTAGGCCACGGACTGACACACAGCGCCAAAGCATGATGGATCCACCTCCATGTCACTTTATTTCTGCACACCTTCCTCTCTTAACTCCCAGCCAAAAAATCTCGATTATTTTATTTTTCCTGGCAAAAAAGTGTCAGTAAGAAATTATTGTTTGGATTTAACAAGGTCTCTTCAAACCGGCTGCAGTATTTCTGAATGGGGCCTAAACATGTCCTTTAATATTTGTCATTAATATTAGGGTGGGCAATAGAAACAGATTTCTCTCATTGTCGTTTGAAGAAAAATGTATCTTCCTCTTGCTTCATTGACAACATTAACATACATTGTCCAAACGGTTGAACCCCAAACTACTCGTTTTTGATAGAATAGCAGAAACAAATATTAGCGATTCCTAATTTTACAACATCATCTTAGTGTATTGATTTGTGGGTGGACGAGACCTTCGCAGAGGCACAAAGACGAGACATAGTATCATATAATTATCGTACTAACAATAATACTAATAATATCTTCGGCAGCACAGGGATTTAGAAGCTGAGATGCCGCTCTTTCCTCCCACCCCCTAAACGCCACTCTTTGTCCAGCCTCCGGTCTGAGCGTATCCCGGTAAACATCTTTGGCTCTCGTCACACTCCAACCTGCATCCCAGTGCCAAGTCACCTCTCCTGTGCCACCTGTGCCAGATGGCTCTTGCTGTTGGTTGATTGGTCCAGTGTCGAGCTCGTGACCTCCCTTTGGCTCAGCATCCCTAACCCGATGGCTTTCTCGTCGCCTCTACCATCTTCTTTTCTGGCCTTGACCTGTCTGCTCCTGGCTGCTCTGATGGGGGTTTGGGCAGCTGTAAAGACGGCTCACCTCTGCTCACTTTTGTTACTTGTTTTTTTTTCTGCTTCACTGCAGGTGTGCTCCACTGTGGCCTCTCAAGATGGTGTTAAATTAACGTCTGTTAGTAATAATAACCTCTTTTAAATCAACACCTCCTGCAACATGACTGGTGTATGCAAGGTTTAGAAATATTATGTTTGGACAAATTACACAGCGAGATTATCAGATGATGAAGCGGAATCCCATTTTATTTTCATACATTTCACACCTGGAAAGAGTGTAATCTTCAATGTATGTGCATGAAAGCATGATGGCAAAAATATACACACATATTTGTGTGTGTACTTTGTTCGAATTATTGAATATCGAACAACTTTATTTTTAAAGCATATTTTATAAGCAAACCGTTTACAAAGTGCTTTATATTTAGACATTAACAATACATTCAATCAGTAGTTATGATTGGGGAAAAATGACCAATGGCTCCTATGTGTTTGTTATTTTAGTAATTCCAGTTCTCAATACTTCTCTCATTTGTTAGTTGACAAATCAACCACTTAGTAAAGTCATCTGAGAGGACTGCTTTTGTGATTTAGGGCTATACAAAAATATATTGAATAGAATTGAGATATAATTGAGAATAAGGATAAGAAATGTACTGTTTCCTTTGAAAATTAATAAAATGTAGAAATAAAAGGAGAAATAAACACTTGAAAGATTGGGACCGTGTCAATTCAAAAGGAGCAAAAGTAAAAACACATGTCAAACTATACTGTACTGAAAATATTCCTCTTTCTTTTTGGTTTGGTGCACCTGTCACGATGAAACACGGCATAGTTTGGATGTCACCTATACTTGAACAAACATAACAAAAATCACAATAAACAATATAATGTAGTTTTAGAAAAGAGAATTTTTGAAATACTGTGGATTAGCATTTCAGTAGCTCCACATGGCATCACCTAACAAACTGTTTTATGCTGAAAACTGCCTTTGTCTTTTGTGAATCGATTTCATTATCAGTTAATGTATTCAGTGAGTATTCATGCTGAGTTTCAAACTTTCAAACCACAAAAATATGAAATACGTGTCATCAAACTAATCGTATTTGCTTGCAAAACAGTTCACTTGTTTTCATTTGAAAGTAATTTTTCTCCTCTATCATATCTTTAGATCAGCTTTCTTTGACGGAATAGTGAAATAGAGAGGACCACTCTTCCTCAGCCAATGAGCTCTTAGTGGAAAATATAGATTCATATGGCTTTATCACACAAGAATACCATAAATTTGATGAAGACAAAATGTTGATGATGTGAAGAGCATTATTCTCACTGTTGAGATGGGGATGGGGAGGAGGCAGGTTGAAGCTTTATTGAAATCTGTGATAAATGCAGCCAGTGAAGGTAGATGCTGATTAGCTCAGACATAGATGTGTAGTAGTGGGTAATGTGAGCTCTAATGTGAGCTCTAGATTATTCATCATAAAGCTTCTACATCTCATCCTGTATGACCAACTAACTCTAACCCAAGCATCGGCTAAAGGTGACAATTAATGCTCTTGAAGGACAACAACTTGATTGGCACAAGGTCTCAAAACTCACTTCTTGACGTGTCAGACATGCATTATTAAGAAGCATTGTTATGCATTAGGAAGATTTCTGCATGAGAAAGAGCAGGCGTGAAACATGTAAATGAATCATGAAATATTCTCCGAAGTATTTGCAGCATTTCAGTCACGTTCGCAATCACAAATGTCACTGGCGCCAGGATTACATTATTACTGTAATTAGCTGCACCCGTTCTTTTCGCCTCCCTTTGTTCCTTTCATTTCAGCAGTCTGCTAAAAGGTAAAATCTGACTGCATGCAGCTCAATCCAAGTCAAATCCTCGGCATTTCAGTCTTGAGTGAGTGATCCAATTTGTTCTAAATGATCTATCTAATGGAAAAGGCTGGCGGTAAGTTACATATGCGTTCAGTGAGTATGTCTGAGTAGCAAATGGGCCCAGAGAGAGGAGGTTATATTATGGTGAAGCGGAGATGTAGACGGAAGGTCCAGCTGACTGCGGCGCATAAAGTGACAGACAGAGACGAGGACAGTTACAAGAGGTGCAGTGACAGGCGCAGGAGCGGGGAAAATGGAAATGCAAGGTGTTTCATTGATTTACTTTGACTTCTTCATGAAATATGAAACATTTGACTATATCAGCTCAGATTTGAGACGATTCAAAGAAAAGTGATTATGACTACTCCTGATTTTAGGTCGGCAATTTAGGGTGAGCTGGAATTCACAGTGTGTCATTACTCACTTGGAGGTGTTTTCATTGAACGACACAGAATAACATGTGTCAAGATGTTTTCATTTTTTTACTGGGGCCCAAAAAGAGGCAGGTTGACTTTTTGATGCCACAACATTTGGTGGCAGATGCAATTTCAGTCATATATATTGGATCCAAGCATGTTTTTATCTAACTGTCTGAAATGCAACAATGGTTTGTTTTGTCATCGGCATCAGAAAGTCATTGGACCTATTTGCTTTATATGTTATTGCGTTGAAGTGACAATGACATAAGCTCAATTATATTCAAGAAAAGGGTCTCTTAAGCTGCAGCATTTTCAAGTTTTGTATCAGATGCATGATTTTAGTTAAATTAACGCCCTGACCAGCAATGCACGGATAACATTCATTTTTGCGTTTACCTTGAGATCCTTCAGAGACCAGCGAGACAGTACCATCATACTCCAGGAGCTGTGCCAGGATGAGCACTTTATACTGTCTTCTCTTCTGTCTGGTGCGATCAGAAGCACAATCCAGTCAGGATAGAAAGTGTACTGAAAGTGAACGCTTATGTCCACCATCACTATGTTTTCTCTTGTCAGTCCTGGTTTAGCTCTTGTTTTGGCAGTTTCCTCATTGCACATGCGTTTTTATGGTCCTGCATAAAAACTGGACTCATCAAAACAAACTAACACAACAACTCAAAGAGATTACAACTTCATACTCTCCAAAGTGTGTAAACAGAGCCTGTTTGACATCTTCAGGGAGACTGTTCCCTACTTTGGCCTCAAAAATGCAATTGGTTTGTTTGCAAAGGGATCACTACGTCTATACAGATGAATTATATCGCTTCTACTTTGGTATTGTTTTGACGGAGCAAAGTTGGCTGTTCCTCCCGCTGCACTGGGTTGACACCAGATGTCATGTACATGTTTGAAAAAGCCCTACAATATAAAACGACTGCTACGCTACTGCAGCAGTGGTTGTTCAGTGGTCAGTGGAGGCCAGGCTGAATACAAATGACCTGTGTGTCAGATCCCTCCACACTGCCTGCACCCAGGACAGACGATCATTAGTGTAATTGTGCTGAAAAGATTTTAGCAGTCTTGGGTTAAAGCTGAGCACACCTGGTTTAATGAGCCAAAGAGCGATGACACGTCAGAAGGTGTTGCCAGAATCTATATTTTGCAGGTACAATTCAGCCAAAACATTACGACCACGGACAGTGTACACTGTTGCATTTGATGGATGACAGAGATTATTATTGTATTTTGTACTTTACATGAAAAGGGCCGCATCATAATTTTTCAAGATCTGGAAACAATGGAAGAGCACGCATTGATTTAAATTCAAAATTATAATGTAAACGCATAGACCATTTACAAGCACAAAAGAATAATATAGAAATTCTAACAAACAGAACTGCTGCAGATATGTGTTAAACAAATCCAGACAAAGCCTCAAGCTGAAGAGATGTTCATTGTGCTGAATAATGATGATTATTGCATGTTGTTTTACGCACAGGGAAGCTTGAATTATCTGACCTAAGGTGCCTCTTGTACAAAATGGTAAAAATGATTAGCTATTGATTAAATGCTAGCATTGACCCATGTGTGTTCAGATCACAGATTCAGTCAAAGACCCTCCAGCTGTTTCCTGTGTGTTGAAGACTGCTGAGTTTCTCAGCAGGGGGTTCAACATCCTCACATGCTCATTAAAAATGTAAAAATGTTATGGTTAATGACATAATACATCATTTGAACAAAACCTGTTTTATTCACGCCATGATTTGAATGCCACAGTCATTAGTGTGTACCCAGAGGAAGAACATTAAATAGCAATTCTTCCAAAGCATGAAAATAAAGAATGTTTAGACACTAAGGTACAAGATTATTAAGCAGTGACGGTAGCACAACCAGTTAAAACCGCCTCTAACATCAGCACAAGCGAAAAGATGAGCTGCAGTAAGAGCAGGCTCCACTAGAGACAGTTTCAGCCACCATCAAATCCAGGTCTTTACCAGAGGCTCCCCGCTCACACTCTCATACCACACATAATGTACATATAGATAATGCTTATGAAATTCAAAAGTGCTCAGTTCTTTCCTTGAAACTTTGTTCAAACTCAGCATGTAAGTGGTCTCACACACAACAGAGGGCACACTCTAGACCAAATGTAAATAGGAATGTCCCAGTCTTATTACCTGATCGGAAATTGGACCTGATCCTGTTGTTTCAGAATTGATCGGGATCAGTCGTTACATTCACATATACAGTAAGATCCAAACCGACAACAGTATGCTGCATGATGTTACTTTGCTGTAGTGACTCTTCTGATGTAATATATTTGCTATGAAATAAATCTTGGATCAGGACTCAAAATTGGTCAATATTCAAAATCAAAGGACTCTGACTTATGCAAAAACCTGATTTTAAAAGGATCTATTCCAGCTTTGTAGAATCAAGATCAATTCATCAGACAGACAAAGCTAAGTGTCTTGTGTATCACACTTTCCTGCTGATGCTATGCTCCACTTTGAAAAACAATATGTGGTGATGTGGATCTGCATGGCCACCAGCAGGAGGCGCACGGAAGTATAAAATGCCTCAGGGCGCCTCTCTCTGTCTACGCCGCGCAGACTTCCGCCTCCCGTGTCCACCATCCTGACAGTACAGGTAGCGTCCTTCAGACCTTTAATAATCTCACATCTTTATTTATTGAATTGCCTTTCTGTGGCCTAGGGGTGTGCTGTAATGGGTCGCGTTCGTTTGCCACTGGCTCAGCTTCCTGCCCTTTTTCTGTGGGTCCAGGTGTGGGCTGGACCCAGGATGTTGTGCACAACGGCCTACTGACCGTGCGCAATGACAGCGTTCCAGAGGGTAGGTTAGCGCGAGTTGTTGGATCTGTTGGAAAGCAGATCATGTTCCTGCCGTTTTTCTAATATTTTATTTCCAGGCAGGATGCAAGATCTGGACGTGACCCCCGCTGCCATCTCGCCTTCTTTTTCCACTTTACTTCTCTTGTTCAGATACTTGTCTTTTATATTGCTAATACGACACAGGGACAAATTGATTTATGTAATGTGAACGTGAACAAGCTTTTGTACACTTGTGAAAAACTAGAGTGAGAGAAACTGATTTTAATAAATGTGCTCACTCATGGATCATGCCTCCTTGCATGCCTCCTTGCATGCCTCCTTGGGCGGCACGGTGGCTGAGTGGATAGCACTCTCGCCTCTCAGCAAGAAGGTCCTGGGTTCGAATCCCGGTCGGACCAGGGCCTTTCTGAGTGGAGTTTGCATGTTCTCCCCGTGTCTGCGTAGGTTTCCTCCGGGTACTCCGGTTTCCCCTACCACTAAAAATATGTCCAATAGTTCTGGCATGTGCCTCCTGTACTGGCGACCCCGCTCCCATCTCTGTGTGGAGTGAGAGACTAATGCCCATAATTAACAATTGTAAACCGCTTTGAGACTCAGATCTGCAGTGAAAAGGCGGTATATAAATAAAAACTTACTTACTTACTTACTTACTTACTTGTATGAACTTACCTGTGTGCCTTAGGGCGTTTTATTTTATTTTGGGTTTAAAAACCCTGGCGTTGCTGGTATGTTCGTGCACCGAATGTGAGCCCACGACCCTCGTAATGCTACAAATACAATCATAATAGAAACATATAAAAAGCTGTCTGTTTCCAAACACACACATCATAAAGGGATAGGGTTGTTTGGATGATGAAATCCAACATTCCCACGCCAACATTCCACATTCAAACACTGTTGAACTTTCAATATCTATATTGATTGAGATCACTTATTTCATGCCTCGTTATCTCCAATTAACAACACTGCATGGAGGATGGGGCAGGGGAGAGAGACCTTGCCACTTGCTTGAGAAGCAGGAGGAGACACAAGGGTCATTGATAGTCCAGGGCTGGTTTGTGCGAATCAGTTGTGAGTGGCTTTTATTGCTGCTTGCTGCTTTAATTGCATTTTTTTTTTCATTTCAAATAAAAATCATAAAATACTGCAGTTAGAGGATGAAATATTGTCTTGCTGTATTTCAGTCACAACCTCTCCAGAGAAATGCTCGCTAAAAAATGCAAGAAGCTCGTACCACAGCTTGTCTTGTCGTGCGCCTCTTAACAGACGTGAGCCATATCCTCGCTCAACCTTGACTGAAATATGGCAATTGATTTGAAGTAGTAAAATATTGAAAGAAAAATACCTCCGGCCTTGATGCTGCAAACAAACAATCAAAATAGTCGCAAATCTGTCACTCCCGTTGCCATAGGATTATGTAAGAGTCGTAATTCCCACAGCCAAAAGAGACATGACAGACTTCACACTGATATGGGCCGTTAGGAGAGCACCATCTGCTTCAGGCACTGTCCAATCACAGCATATCCAACGGGTCCCACGGTTCAGATTTGAGAATAAACATTTCACCTACTCACCTAAAGGTCTCACATCATGGGTTACTCCGGTCACACATGTTTCTTCAGTGGTGACCCCATAAATACTGTACTATACTATACAATACTGGTAAATACTATACATGACTGGATTTAATAGTGGTCTGGTGCCCATTGATGCTTAAATTATGGTTATTATGTAATCGCTGCAAAGATGTCCTCACAAAACACTGTTTTCTGAAAACAGTGAAATGTTTCTGCTTCACTGTGGTGTTTACATACACCTGACCTGTTTTTACTCAATGTTAATTCTATTAGTTTTACATTTTGAACAAAATCACAAGTTTATTTTCGGACAGTGAAAAGCCAAAATCCATGTCTTTTTGCTTACTGCAAATGTCCAGTTTCCAATGCATTCCGAATTTTTTAGCATAGTCCAATAAGAAACCCTTTGCCTTACACCAGGGGTGTAAGGCTTAAGGTGGTTCCCTTAGCTCGGGAGCCACCAATAGCTCGCCACCTCCTTCCAGGTAGCTCGCCAAAGGATTTACAAATCAAATAATAAACATAATTTTTCAGATTGTATTGTTCATTCTCATTATATATTTTTGTAAATGCACTTACTTTGTAAATAGTAACAAATATGCAATAGTTAATAATGACTTTACCCATTATCAGGATTGTTCACACCAATTTTTTTCCCAGGGCCACTTGAAGGAGTAGCTTGATGCCTTTATCGTCCTGAGAAAGTAGCTCTCTGGGTGAAAAGGGTTGGAGACACCTGCCTTACACAGACATCCACAAATCTGGAGTAAAAAAAGAAATAAATGACTTTTTGAGTAGTTTAGTCCTGTTTGAAACCACATTTGGACCTTGCTCAGACTCATTCTCAGTTGTACAATGTCCAGACACAGGGCATTTGAGAATAAACTTTGTCTCGAATTCCAATCCAAAACGAAAGTCATTGTTTACTTCACGAGAGCTTGATGGATGACAAAGTGAACCCTTGTGACGAACAGCGGGCCTAAATGCAATAGGATCAGACAGAGGACAGACACTATAAGATTATTGTTTGTCTATAGGCTGTCTGCGCTGATGGAGGCATTTTGTCAGGATGTCATTAGGAAGTATTAACTGTCACACGCGGCACAGAGATGATGGAGCACTACAGCTGACTCCCTTTTGTCTCCGAGAGGAAACTCAGAAATGATACAAGCAAATCTGTTTCATCCTCTGTCATTGTATCCTGCTGAACGCAAAAGTGCAGAGCTTCTGAAATGTCTTATTCAGGGTTGAATAAGGTGAGGATGTTGGGCAAGAAAGGTACGTGACAACAACTGGGGTTTGGTAGAGTAATGGGGGATACAAGGAGATGGACTGTTTAAGCTTCTTCTTAAATAGTCTCAAATGTATCTATATATAGATACTTTATTTTTGAGTTGTTGACTATGTAATTCCTTTGGTCAAAATTCCTTTGGTCATAATTCAAAAATCTTAACAAGGCAACAATTGTAATGCAAAGGAACAGATTACAGAGGAACAAAAAAACAAAAAAATAGTTAAATGAGCATTGAAGAAGAGTGGGCATAATCTTGCTTTTTTTCCCCATTTGTTCAGATTTATTTCCATCCAACAAAAGTTTCTATGAGTGGATATTCACGTATTTGTGCAAAATTAACCCAGTGAAGTACATGAAAGAAAACAAGGTAAAATGTACCAGAAACAATTGTCAATTTGAAACCAATCAACAAAAACCATTTGAATAGGAATTTCATTACAGTGTGTTTTTCAGAATTCCTCCATATCAGCGAACGGTATCTGAAACAGCTGAAACATGGATTCTCCAGGGTGGCCGGAAGATTCATTGATTATTTTAAGAGCTCAGTTTAAGAGTCTGGATACATATATTACCTCCAGAACAGGCAGCTCACATCTCACAGTCCTCTCTGCAGAGCGGAGGATCTGGTTTAGAGCTCTCCTTTCTTTGGTTGTGATTTTGCCGAACCAGAAAGTCACAGAATCGACAAGCAAAACTTTTAACGGTGCGACGATTAAAAGTGAAGCAGAATCTTATAGTTTGTGGTGAATTCTTGATGTTTCCGCAGATGTATGAAACGCTGACGAGATTTTTTAACAACCTGATGGTTTTGGTCCGATTTCAGGTCATCAGCCAGAGTTAAACCTAGAAACTTGAACAATTGAACACTTTTAGATGTGTTCAATTGCAGGTTGTTTTCTTTACTCCATGTGTCAGACCCAAATGGCCACAACTATTATCAAGTAGAAGTAAGAATGTCAAAACCTCATCCAGAAGTGCTATGAATATGTGAAATGTGTCTGTCTTCATGCTGCTCTCGAGTCACTTTGAACCGTGGTTGTAATGTTTGCATGATTTAGGGACCAATCACAGAACAAGAGGGGACGGCAAGACAATGATGACGTACGATAGACAGAAAATTGTAGTTTGACGGCAGCAGACACAAAGACTTTCCCCAAATGTTTAACTTGCATGAGCGCAGTAATCTCTCGACAGATGGCACCAATGTTTTATATAATTTTTCATGGGTCTGAGCAAAAACACAAACTCCCCTAGCGGCTTCTTGGAGCCCTGTGAGCGAGTGATCTCTGTCCAAAACCGTTCACATCTTGATACACCTGCTGCGATCCCATCTGATGATTCAAACGCAGAGTCGCACTAAAAAACTATATATTCGAAGGGGATTTAGACTATTCACATTTATCAAATAGACTGATGCCACCATTGTATGAACATTATTCGTCTTCTTCACTTCTTCCTCTTGTTGAATTCTATCGCCATTAGAATTTATATGATTGGCGCAAATTCATGATAGACATTTGACACATTGACACTAAACAGAGCAATGGACATGGACGATTGGGAATTTACACTGTAGGTGTTAAGAGTGCGTTCGCGTTGACTGCGCGCATGTGCGCGTAACATTATTTGGGTGTATCTACACTGGACGTGCGCGCAGGTCCGCGGCTTCTGATGCTCTCCCTGTGTAGTCTATGGAGAAGTGTAAAGGACAGTACAGCCCAGAGGACTGATGTAGAACAACACAAATCACATGCATGTGTTAGATGTGTTTGTCTTCATGGTCTCTGTGCGCTGGTTTGGCCAGATGCAAGACTTTATGAAAGAAAAAAAAACGATGTCTAGAATCATTGTAAAACCTGCCAGTCCTCCTGCTAATGTTTAGATACAAGTGCTGTGTGTGTGTACAGTAGATGCAATCTAAAGCCAAGGGCCGCTAGAAAAATCGTGTATCACATGTGTTTTGACTTGGAGACGCCTTGCTGCGCGCACAAAATTAGAAATCCAT